ATTAGGACTATCTTCAAAACTGAAAATACAATTAGAAGTAAAATTTCAGTAACAAAACCTCATGATATAATTGAAAATACAAAAAACGTAATTTATAAAATTCCTTGCAAATGCAATAAATTTTTTATAGGAGAAACCTCAAGACCATTACACATAAGACTCAAAGAACAGCCAATCATACATAAAAAACAGAGAATATCATAAATCACACATTTGTCAACATGCATTTGATAATTACCATAAAATTCAATGGAATAATACCACAATTTTAACTAAAGAACAATCCACAAAAAAACGTAAAATTAAAGAAAGCGCACTAATTTTACTAAATCAATATAATTGTGTTGCTTCATGTTCATTTAATTTAAGTCATACATGGTTACCTATGCTAAAATCTGAAGTAGACCAAAGAAACATACACTCAAATTAAATTTACACCAAAATTATTAATTAACATTACTTTTATTAATTTAAACAATGAGATTAAATTAAAGTCACATAACTGACAATTTGCACAGACGAATTACCAGCGCGAATTTTCATATATTGTATTATTCTACTATTGTTACACAATTTATTAACATACTCTTTTTTAGGTTCATTTAGGTTTTTTTGGTAACGATAGCAGAAAATAGCTATCGAAACGTCAAGGTAATTTTTCAAATTAATTTCTCTACCAATTGAAATTGTCTCTTACAGCTTGAGCCTAAGTGTGTCGCAGGATACCCTCTAGCTGATAGTTCTTGATTACTTTTTGATAATTAATTCGTTCTTATTTCGAAATAGGAGCACTATTTATCAATCTGTAATAAAAGACGTGAGGAAATTCTGTCTTTTTTAAAGACAAAAATTTTTGAGGCGAAATACCCAAAAGGAAGTTTGTAAAAAAATAACCTGTGTGTGTTGCCGGCATTAAGTTGAAACATGTGCGGCGAGGCAATTAAGTCATTATTTTTCTTTATTTCCAGGAAAACTGCCAAAATTACATCCGAGTAATGGCGAAAACTGCCCAGAGCCGTTTGTTACTATGCGGAACAAACGCCTTCAAACCGATTTGCCGTGAATACAACGTTCTTAGCAGGAATTACACGTTTGAGAAGGAAAAGGCAGGCCAGGCCCTCTGCCCTTATGATCCACGTCATAATTCAACGGCGATTTATGTCGGTAAGTTGGTGGGTTTTTCCTGCTGAATCAACTTTGTCATTTTTTACGTGGACCGGGCATGTTGCGCTTCCGTTTTGCTCGTTGAGTGATCTGTCGTCTCCAACAACGTTGTTTGCTATGTCTCATTGCGACAGCTTCACTACATTCTCGTCGCAATTACATTGTTCATGCTCCAATTTAGACCAGTAACTAATTCAAGGCAATTTGTCACGTTTGAGTTGACCCGCATTTACTACACTGTCAAGCCACTCGATCGAACTCCGATATTCGTCTATTCCAGCTACCTTCAGATGAATTTATGCTATCGGATGGTTAAATATTAACCAACAGAGAAGCTAGTGAAACTTTGTTTGCAAAACGTAAAAATGCTCCTTAATAACAACCTTAAAGTGCATCTTCAAGAGCCAGTATCTTCAAAAAATGAACGCAAACGTTTCCCCGTCCTCTCGCTTAGTTTTTTCAGAAATTATTCAATTTAAAATTTAGTCCATTTTTTCTAAACTTTTCCAAGTTTTGAGCTCCAATTTGAAAAACTGGAAGTCACTGAGCTCACTATTTTGTTTGTGAATAGAGCATTAAATTGTGCTGTTTTTTGCACGCAAAACGTAACATTCAGCAACGCATACATTTTTTTTTAGAAAATTCGATTTTCTTCAGCTTTTCATAGCTTTGTGCCCACATTTGAAAAATTGCGGAAGTTACAGAGCTCACTCTTTATTTGTAAATAGAACTTTGAATAGCGCTGTTTTCTCATTCAAAATATAACATTTAGTTTTCTCAAAAAATATTTAACGTGTTTAGCTCCTATTGGCAAAACCATAGTAGCTAAAGAGTCACTTTTTTATTGTTACCAGACCATTAAACTATGTATTTTTCTGTGTAAAGTATATCAATTTATTTTTACTTTTCTTAAGAGCTCAGTAAATAATGCAATAACGTTTTAAACTTTAGAAGACCTTTCTTAAGAAAAAAATTCAAGATGCCAATTTTCTAAATTTTGCATAGTTTTTCGCTAATATTTCAAAAAGCGTTTGAGCCGTTTCGTAGTAATTTTAGCATTCAATAGTCCATATTTTCATATAAAATCCCACTTTTTTTTCAGAAAATTCAAAAATGGCTAATTGTTTTAATTGTTGCTTGGCTCATCTTTAAAAACATGTCCATTCAGAGAGCTCAATTTATGGAGCATTTATGGAGGATGGAGCATGGCATGGAGCCTTAAATGGCGCTTTTTCAATAAGTTGTCACTTTGAATAGAGAGAAGATCAGTTTATCCTCCAAAATATTGCCTAGTTTTAGGCTAAAGCTGCCTCAGTCTTAAAACACAGTTAGAACAATAATTTTTTTTCAGTTTTAATGAGTTAATTTTAAAAAACATGCGTAGGTTGTATTTAAATAGTAGGACGAGCTAAAGAGTTTTTATCAGCAAATAGATTAAATTAAATTGTGCTTTTTTCTAAATAAATTATAATATTCAATAAAATTTCATGTGCGCGGCAAATAGAAAAATATGAGTTTGGTCCATTTTTTCAGAATTGCGCTTAGTTTTGATTCATCGTTACAAAGACTGATAAAAAATGAGTCTTAAAACACAGAGAGACCATTAAAATTTTGCATCAAAAGATCTTCAGAAAACGGAAAATTTTAATCAGTTAATTTAATAAAAATGTGTAGTTGTTTGCTCATATTTAAATAGTAGGACGAGCTAAAGAGATCAGTTTTTACCAGCAAATAGAACATTAAATTGTTCTTTTTTCTAAATAAATTATAATTTTCAATAAAATTTCATGTTCGCAGCAAACAGAAAAATCTGAGATTAGTCCATTTTTTCAGAATTGCGCTTAGGTTTTGATTCATCGTTACAAAGCCTGATAAAAAATTAGTCTTAGAACACAGATAGAAGATTAAAATGGGCACATTTTTGCATCAAAAGATCTTCAGAATTCTTCTTCAGAAAAGGAAAAATTTTAATCACTTAATTTAAAAAAATTCGTCGCTTTTTGCTCATATTTTAATAGTAGGACGAGCTAAAGAGATCAGTTTTTGCCAGCAAATAGAACATTAAATTGTGCTTTTTTCTAAATAAATTATAATTTCCAATAAAAATTTCATGTTCGCAGCAAATAGAAAAATCTAAGATTAGTCCATTTTTTCAGAATTGCGCCTAGTTTTTGATTCATCGTTACAAAGCCTGATAAAAAATGAGTCTTGAAACACAGATAGAAGATTAAAATAGGCACATTTTTGCATCAAAATATTTTCAGAATTCTTCTTCAGAAAACGGAAAATTTTAGTCAGTTAATTTTAAAAAAATCTGTAGGTTTTTGCTCATATTTTAATAGTAGGACGAGCTAAAAAGATCAGTTTTTACCAGCAAATAGAACATTAAATTGTGTTTTTTTCAAAATAAATTATAATATCCAATAAAATTTTATGTTCGCAGCAAATAGAAAAATCTGAGAATAGTTCATTTTTTCAGAATTGCGCTTAGTTTTTGATTCATCGTTACGAAGCCTGATAAGAAATGAGTCTTGAAACACAGATAGAAGATTAAAATGGACACATTTTTGCATCAAAAGATCTTCAGAATCCTTCTTCAGAAAAGGGAACTCCAGATAAGTCAATGTTTTCAAAATTTCTCAATCTCCTTCGCTGATATTTCGAAAACCGTTTGAGCTTCAGAGCTCAATTTTTTTGTAATGAAAGGAGGCGTAAATTACACTTTTTTCTTTATAACACGTTAGTTGAGAAATATTCCCGAATCTCTCGCAAAATGTTAAAATTCAAAATAGGGCAATTTTGTTGAAACATTGCATAACATTTAGCTCATATTTCAATCACGTTTCTAGATATGGCTCTTGTTTCCGAGTACTGGATTAAACTGGGTGTATTTTTACAAAATCCGTTTTCAACTCCTCTAATAGTCTCAGAAAAAGCGAAAATTGAGTCAATATTCGCGCCGCAATAACCACACAAATAAAGAGCAGATTGAACTCTAAACTCTCTTTCTCATAAAGCACGGCAGCATTTTTTTATTGGGGGATTTGGATGAAGAATTGCCGAAGAAGAGCGAATGTTTCTGAAAAACCCAATTCAATTCTTATTAGCTACGGGTTTGCAGTTTGTTGTTGCTGTTCCCATATATCGGCCGAGGAGCATTGGCAGGCAAAACGCCGGACAGTAAGAGCGCAAAAGTCTAAAATATATGCCCATAAATCAGGATTTTCAACTCAATAAAGAAAAAGCGCTTCTATAATGCAGTTTCGATCGTCATAAATTGAATGCGACTTAACTGGCCTCTAATCGGCCGAGTCAGACAATCTTTTTCCCAGTAGTATTTGTGTTTGTTAGTGGGAATGAAATTCGATTAGTTTAAATTCCATTAAGCATTTGGATAACACAGTGACGATGGCAATGGAGCGCTTTTCAGCCGGATTCTATGCAGACAACGGTCTTCAGCTCCTGTCGCGTGTCTTTGGATGAGGAGAAGAGCCTTTCCGGCATGAATAACTGAATTAATATACGCGGCAGCACAAAGTTGAGCACGGCATTTCACTGGGCTGAGACAATTCAATTTTATGTGCAGTGATAAATCGTCCCTTGTCACCTGAGGGACACTGTTTCGCTTTGTAACTTGTGCCAAAATGTCCCTCTAACGTTTTAGTTGATTCTATCAAATCGCACAAAAATACAAGCAGAAAGTCTAGATGTGGTTGAAGCACAGAGCGAACGCAATGAAAGCTTTTTTCCATGGAGAAGCGCGAACTGGAGGGTGGATAATCAACTGTTTGCGAACAATGAAATACAAATCAGCGGGATTTAAATACACGAGTGAACAAATAAGCTGGAATGAACGGCCAAATGGGCACTTGTTATTTGTTTTATCAGATGGCGTTGTTGGAATGAGCATCGACTGTTCTTTATTCCGCATTTCAGGTAATAATAACAACGGTATGTGGGCGAATGCCCGGCCGTATCCTGTTACATAGTTTTCATTTATGTGCGTTATTAGTCGAATTTAAATGAATAGGAAATTCGACTGGCACAATAATTAAAATACGCTGCCGGTACCGACGTTTTCAATTAAATTTATTTCATATTTAATGATACACAACGCCGGAAATTAGCTTGGGTTAACGGAAATCAGCGTTTTCGAAAGAGGCGGGCACACGGATTTTGGGAAGCTGCCGCATTCGATTACCGAAATATTCCCGGCGGAAGAAAAGCCGTAAAAGTTGGTTTTTGCGCCGGCCGATTCCAAATGAAAAATTAACGGAAACTTCGTCTGGAATCGGGCCCATTGTTCCACGTAATCCTTAAAATAGAGAGTTGCTGCGCCTTTATTTCCATTCCATTCCATTCTAACCAAGATCATTATTTCAGATGGCGACCTGTATACGGGCACAGTGGCCGATTTTAGCGGAATGGACCCCATTATCTATAGGGAACCGTTGCAGACCGAACAATACGATTCGATGAGTCTAAACGGTAAGTCCTTGGCGTGTGAATGGCTGGAAACCCGAAAGAAAGGTTTTTTGTGTTCGAAAGATAAATTAGCTGGAAAAAGTGGACCGACGTAATGCTAAATTGTGCAGCCTCAAAAGCTTTTCGTGAATCGCAACTTCCAAATTGATCATGACATTCGAGGATTATTTCCGCTTAGATTGCTTTTTTATTTCTATTTACTCGCCTGTTTATTTTTTGCCTGTTTGAATGAAATTATTTTTTTAACTAACTCTGGCTCTAGGCTTCAAAATGACCAGCACTCGGAATAGTTCACAATTGTATATACTTTCCTCACTGTGTTTCAATTCCAAATCAAAATTAATTCCTGGCTTTCAGTCATTTATTGGCTTTATTTATCAATTAAAATACGTTTCGGTGTATTTTTCCGCCATCATCAGTTTTTCTAAAATAACATAGTTAAAAAAAAATTCATTAATTTAAAAAACAATCACAGTTCGTCAACAGCCTCATCACCTCCTCACACATTAAAATGCATCACAATTGCAACACTTTAAAACATTCTAAACTTAATTAGGCTTAACAGGTGATTAGTCAGGACAATCAAATCTGGGAAGTGACTAGAATTTTTCGTTCAGATACTTAAATATTTTTACTTAAATGTGTAGCGTTGTTGCTGCTTTAAGCCTTGGCATACATTTGGAGTATTAATTTTGTCCGTTTTGGACACAAGGCGAATAAAATACTGTTTATATTGATTTCTTTTACTTTCAGCAATTTTTCTTTGTATTCTGAGGATATTATTTTTGGTCTGCAAAATTCTTCAATTTACCGGGTGTTAGTTAATATTCAATGTTCATTTTAATTAATTAATGTATGATATACTGAGCTAAGATTGTCGGTATCCGATCTAAAATTCATAGCATTGTTATGTTTTTTAATCTGTATCATTTCATGGACTCTTCTCTTGTTATAATTACTCTCGTTAATCAGTATTTTTGTGTTATCAAAATCAAAAGTATGCCACTTCTGTTGTGCATGCTATGCTAATGCTGTACCGGACTATATCGGACACAAGGCGAATAAAATACTGTTCATATTGATTTTTTTTGGTACACAAAGGAGGTATGGTCTGGTAGGTACCTGAATTATCAATCATACGCTCCAATGAAATATAAAGTGTAATAACGGCACTTACAGATAAAGCCATTAAATTGTCACATTGGGAGTATAGAACAAAAAATCTTGAAAAAATTAAAAATATATTATTAATAAACAACTATCCAAGGTCATTTTTCGAACCAATCATAAAGCAAAGGATAAATAAAATATACAATTC